TATAATGTTCCAACAGAGTAATGAAATCATGTAAATTCACGTCACCTCTCACTGAAATAGCTCTCAGAATAAATTAAACTTAACATTTCTGTGGCGTCATTGACTAGTTGGGTTATGCTCTATATCGAATTCAGAATCGCTCACCGTTCAAGGTATTTTGTATTCCTCTTAGTGCTTAAGGGTATACCTGTATAGGAAGAATATTCTCTTATCTATATATGACTATAATTGGTATTTGTATTTTAAATCATTCTTTGTTGCTTAGTTTTAAAAATATACCAATTTCAATTCGTCTAACGTTAATCATTGATTATATTCATCTACGATTTTATGTAGATGGTAAGTAAGTTTTTTCATTCGATTTAATTTATTTACAAGCGATCCTTGCATTCGGAATTCGAGCTTATTCTTCATATATTTCCTATTTAACGACTCGTTTATGAATCCACCAATGAATCCGAATCTTGCGGGGCATATTCAATAAATTATATAGTATACCTTTTGACGAAGCGAGCCCGAATTAACAGTATTTAGCAAGTTCTGTCGCCCGCTACCTTTGCATCGCCGAATGATTAGGTAGACACAAAGGTGAAATCGTACAATTTAGAAACTCCATAATAACAACGCCATTAATCCTCCTTTTCATGAAAAGGGCTATACTACTAAAACATGAAGAGTTATTAACATTGCAAATTTCATGGGCGGCATATTCCCGTTTGCCATTTTCAGGTTAATATTAATCAAAACATTAATAAAGTAACCGGACACTCTTCTTATTTGGTATTTATTATTGATTAGGAATGAAGATGGTTTCAAAGAGAATTTGAAGCGGTAGTACAAGTAAAATGATATACATACAAAAAAGAAACTTGGGGAAATTAGCAGAGGAGAATCGATTGAGATTGAGATAATATTGATGTAACACAATTGAATAATATTTTTTGAACGAATTTAATTAAAAGTTTGATCTTACATGCATTTCTTAAAACTCTGAATAAACGATTTTTAATTCTCCGAACCCGAATTAGCAAAAAATTGGTTTCAATTAACTAGGTCGTAGGTGAAATTAGAAAATGTAGTTTGTAAACACGAAAACTTGAACCGTTTCCAGCCTAATATTCTCGCTAGTCCGCTACGAACAATGCCGACGAAATAGCGATAATTTCCTGTAGCTGCGGTCTTTCTCATATAAATGTAATTAGCGTTATTCCAGCAAACCCGCAAGGACTGAAGATGGTTCACATACCAACCACTTTAAGGATACGTCTCCCCTGCTAACTGGAATGGAGTTAGTTCTGTTGCTTACGATATCTACAACATGATTAGAAAATGTCACTCCCACCAGAGCATAGTTAATTGACCTTTTCTATTATTGCCCTATATGTTTTGTTTTCGTATAGACCTATAGCCGATAGAAACTTAAGAAACTTCTATGCAAATTGTTATTTATGTACATAAATAATAGACTACTATAATAACTCGATTAATAGATACCTCCAAGGTATATATGAATCTATTTTTGATATCCTCCTTCAAATTATTTTCACCTTTCAATCTGTACGATAGTAAACTGCTACAATAATACTAAACGTTTCTTATTTAATTGTATATTTGCGTGATTATAATTTGCACCTAAATTAGAGGAAAATACAAAGTTGGATTTAATAAGGTGCCATATAGGAGCCAGCAAAATCACGTAAATTTATTCTAATCCAAGAGCAAGCCATTTCTGAATTATAAATTAAATACAAACAAAACATTACCATTAATCAAATTTTGTACAAACAAGGAGATAATGTAAACAGGACTAATGTTTATTAAATATTAGCTTTCCTATTTTGTCTCTTGTTGTGCAGTTTTTCGTGACACACGACACGACACGACAAGCACTGGAATTTTTAATAATCAATAATAACGTTTTATTTATCTCTTCATTTCATTTATAATAGGGTTCATTAAAACCAATTTTGTGGTTCGATATAACATGGGAAAGTTCATACACATTTTTCAATAAAATAGAGTATAAATAAAATGATATTATGTCCAAATTGTTGTGCGTAGTTTACGGTATTTTTACAAAAAATGTTGGATATTGGACGGTTTTGTTCGCTATGGATTTGTCGAATAAATAATAAATAATAAATTACATATTCCTTTCCTGTAAGTTATTTTTTCAAAATTGACATATAATTAACGAAGAAGTTTTGTTTATTTGTAATCCACTCTTAGTTTCTCAAAAAACCTAAATCTACAGAAGAGAAATACTTCACATTTACAGGGAATTATTTCATTCCAAATTCAATTAGTCGATTGGCTTTCAAATTGAATTTCATGATAAATTAGAAGGAATTGCTAAGCAATACTAAGCGTTATTTTACTGGGTATGCTTCTTTCTGAGCTCTTGAATTTTTAAACGCGTTGAAGAAAAAAGAGCTGTTTCCTGCCATTCGGCATTTACATTATTCGCCTTAATTACATTCACTAATCTAATATAGTTTTATTCTTAAAACAAACCGAATTGTTTTATTATAATTTATAAATAAATTTAGTCAATTAAAACTAATACCGGACGATTGGGAAGACTCTTTGCAGTTTGGAAATAATACTTTTAACTATTTTGTCACAATTTTTAAGATTGAATAGTAGCTAATCTATCTCCATCTGAGTCCCAACAAAGAATTTAACGAGACCACCATGTTTTTTGGTTTATACCAATAAAACTGTAAATGTAGTTTCATAGTTTACATTTTCTATTTCCGGATAAAGGTGTTAAGGTGCGAACAAACTTACGACTTTAAACACATACGTTTCCAATTTTTGATTAAAGTATTTATAACTAAGTGGCTAAGTGTCCGAGCACGGATTCAAAAGTGACTCACTCGTCTGGCGTCCAAAAAGTTTCGACTCGTTATTTCGGTCAGTTAATTTCGAGTTTCTGGCTAATCTCGTTCGGAAGCGCGACTGCACGGGATTTTCCTTCTGGAAACTAACGGTATTTTCGCGTAATTGTATTAGTGAAGCTAAGCCAAATTCAGAAATTCCCGCCGGACGCTGATTAAAATGCTGGCCGTTTTCGGACGAGTGACGTGTAAGATGTGAAAAGAAATAAGAAAGGAATGCTTGCTAAACAATAGAAACTTTCTCAATTATTTCGATCTTTTTTTAAAAGGTATTATTTTGTTGATTATCTACAAATATTTTCTGTATCCTAACGTTTAGATAAACATATTTTAAACTTAAAAGCATATCAGGTTTATTCTGTTATCTTGATTCAAAAATTTCATGGAAATTCTAGACAATATTTGCTTATTCTAAACGACAGTAAATATTTACAAGACCAATGCAAATGGAGAAAACTGAAACTGATTTTCTTGTTAAAAATAGTAAACCAATAATTTTTCTTTCTTTCTCATATAAGGAATGGGTTAGCATGATAAAGTAGTATATGTATGTGTAATAGGTACATAATCATAACTAGTGTAATCGAAATGAACGACATGTGAAGTTGAATTTAATCCACTGAAAAAAATTACAAAGAAGAATGAAGTTGTAACATAAAAATTGGTGTGCCAGTCTCACTGTAAATTATGGAACGGAACAGATGCCTGAGGGAGAAATAAAAAGCAGCGGCCAAAAATATCAGCGAACTCAAATGAAGAGGAAATGATGTGAATAACTGGTGATGAAAATTATGAATTTAATATGTTTCGGAACATTCGCTTACCCTCTTTTTGCCGACTCATGATGGACCAATGATAATACCTAGATGGACAAGATTGTTCTTATAACTATGCTATTGGTTTACTGACTAGTCATGTACCTATGTACATTATTTATTCACCTAATTGTTTCAAAATTTGTTTTATTACCATTTGCAAGAATGACTATTGAATAAGGGAACCAATAACTGATAAAGTAAGCCTATAATTAGTTAGTTTATATTAATTAAACTAACTACTACCTGGTTATTGTTTTTAGGTAGTAGGTATTGTAAGCAAAAGAAGTATAATATATTTTATATATATTATGTGTGACAATATTGTTTAAACAAACACAGAAAATGTGAAAATTCATTCTGGTCAACTGGATATCCCTAGCGGTTCACTAGTGTGAATGCCTCAATGTAAAACCGACAAAATTACAACACAAACATATAGCTGAAATGAGAAACGACTGAATACGCTTGTGGGACAAAAATTGCAAAACAAAATACATCCGCTACTTATAAAATATTTACATCCGCAAGAGCATTTCATTAATGTCCGTGGTTCCCACTCTTCCCGTATTTATTTAGCTGCCTAGTATAAATAGAAACATGAAAATTAGACTGGAACGTTCAGGAATCGTCTTTATAACCAGCACGCACACTATCTGACTCATATTTGCGAATAAATCCGTAGAAAATCTCTGTTAATAAAATAGTTTTGTTTTTAATCTAGTATCTATCTACCTAGTAGGTATGCACGTTAGTTCAATATATGTACTGATTTTTGTAATTATCCTTTATGTGAAAAAAATAAAAAAAATGCTAATGCTTTTCTGTTACTCGTACACACACCGCAAAATTAATATATGAAAGAGTAGGTACACTGTTCATATTAATAAATAAAATTTTCATGCCGAATTTTGAATCTATTACATATGCATTTTTAAGCTCATAATACTTTGAAATGTAGCTATGTATGTATGTATGTATGTGAGAAATTTACGATTATAAATTTTTGGCTTGATTTCAGATTTATAAATAAAGTAATCCGACAAGCCAATTATCTGACAAGCTAGTTAATACAAACCCCAAAAAAGACTGATATCCAATTATTATTACTTATGTATCTAAAAGTAAATATTTTTTTTAATACATTCATGTGTTTGAAAAGAAATAATTCATAAAACAGTTTATATTATGACCTGTCAAGTTCTCAAGATATAATAGTTAATATACAACATATGTAGGTTTGTAATTTATTATAACTGCTTCATTATAGTTTTTTAACTTTCAGAATTCCAGTCATCAGATTAATCGAAACTCCTACAATAGTATTTCCGGGTAAGTTGTAGGTAAACTACATTTAGCAATATTCTATTATAACTTTATTTTATTCAAAGAAACCATTTTTATAACCTAAAAATTTACATATTATTCAAACTCGGAGTACTCAAAAATGCAAGCAAATATAAAAATTTTCGCTCAAAAAACATTTAACCAATGTTTTCCAGGTCGAAATCATAACATTAAATATGAATAAGTTGGAAACAGGTAGTAGGGATATGTTTTATAGTGACTAGTTTCTTTGATGCATCCTTTAGGCCTTCGGGTAGAATCATCGTCCTCTTATCACTTATTCAACAAGCCAATCGCTTATTTTTAAAGGGGTGGTTTTTTACTCGGGGGAAAATAATTGTTATTTTAATAGTAAAATCCTGATTTAGGCGAACTGTTTTATATCTTATAAAATATTGGCTATATTAAAAGTTTTACATCAACGACTTTAGAAATAAACAAATTTATATGTAAAGTCAAGCACACTGTAAATATAAAAATAAAAACGGTTTATTATACATAATCGTAGTCTCACATGAGGTTATCTACATTTGAAAAAAAAAAGAGTCAATTTCAGCAAATAATTATTCATCGTCACGTAGTTGAAATGGTCGCACAAAATCGCAGTTACAATACAACCCTCAAATATCTGTATTATTTCACCGTGTTTATGGAAAAGATCGAACGAAAAAAAATCATAACGCGTGACGATATGAAACGATGGAAAGCACAGACACGCGCGCTGGATTTGGCAAAGTGTCGAAAACGGCATCAGAGGCGTACACAGCATTGGTTCGTCGATACGATCCTCCCATTACGGAATTTACTGAACAACCACTTTACATCCATCGGATATCCCGCATAGACACGAACATGAATATTTCAAAGTAATAGCTCTCACTCCGGCCATATTTTTCTTGCTCGGCAAACATAGATGCGCAAATACTGGCGGGTCGCTCCGGCACGTCTCGTAATCCCTTTAATCCTTTCTCGAATGTTTTCCTTTCCTTCCTCTCTATCGAATGGACCGCACTCCTCTTTCACTTACCACTTGCCGGGATAATAAACCAATTTCCATGCTTTCGTACATTTTTTGGATAATAATCGTCGACCACATTGCCTCGAACCCGAAATAGGTGAATTTTGCAAAATAACGAACATGAACCAAAATATGCATTTACAATCACTTGTATCACTTTACATTATTCCTTGTTAGTTATTGATCATGTAAGATTTAATTGAAACATAAGAATCTTGCATCTAGATAAATTTTTCAACTAATACCTAGTAATTATTTAGTCCACCATGAACTTTCGATGTAACTGCACTAGAATTTTTCTAATATATACTATCCTTGTATATGATTGTATTTCTCGATGTTTCCGCTGGTTTCCCTCAAGACCGAATTTCTCATTTATTTTCCCGGATTACAAACCAATTTCCAAGTTTTTAAAATTTTCATCCTTTGTTTACAATTGCCAAGAACGGACGACGATTCGGTACAAAAACCATTATTTTTGTTGAATTAACGATTGGTCCATTCGGAAAGCAAACAAGAAATTAAAAATGAGATTACATTCCTTTTATACGAATACGAATCAAATTAAATATAAAGAACCTTTTTAATTCTTGGAGCTTCGATTTTGTCACATCACCACTTACTTATGTATGTAATAAGCTGTATGATATTGGTACCTGAAGGTGCACCAGATTTGGAAATTGTATATGATTTTTTTTATCCGTTTTCCGTTAGTCCGTTTTCGAACCCTGAGGTTTCAACAATATGCCGTCAAACCGCCCCTCCTCAATGACCAATATTCAACTTATAATGGGTTTCCGAATCCCTTTTCAACATGTCGATTTAAATCTGACAGAAAACTTTCGGAGCTTATACCATTATCCTAAGTGGCAACTTGTAAAAAATAGTTTTCCCATTGTAGCTAAAATCTTGCATTAATACAATGCACAACATAGACCCGTTTTACGCAAAATATCTATATCATTTCAACCGAAGAAATTCTCCCAAGACGAGCCCGAATTAAACGGGCGATCACATCGCGAACCTTGTCTGCGGAGATGCTGACAGTTTTCTCTGCTAATCCAGCTACTAGCCGCCCACTAAGTAGCCTAAAACCCGTAAATAGATCCGAAACCCGGGGGACCCCGGAGTCAGGCCACAGGAACTAATTAGGAGCCACCGGACTTGCGGTTCAACATCAGAGCAGGCCGGCCGAGGCTTCGAATCGACGACCTGTTACGGCAGGTTACTCGACTACACGCTTTGAAGCTGTAAACGTTGACTGCGGGCTAACTGCACTCCGGACAGTTCGGACTTGTTTGCCAAATACTTGCGATTAAAGTTGGTTGGAAGTTGCTATATGATGATGCGGAAACTTGGTTGGAGGTACTGTCTTGCGGATTCAAAGTCGACGTTAAGTTTGTTTTAAGCATTAAAGCAGTAGTGTTAATAAGTAGGAAACTGTATTATAAAGCTTACTGGTTTATTGAGCTGTTAAAATTGTATGAGTAGGAGAATTATAATAACAAAACGTTTATCTGTTAAATATTAACTGCTCTTATTATTTAAATGTAATGTTGTATACGTGGTTGTAATAATTATTTTTTATTTCTATAAATGCGTAAGTATACAAAAGCCCTATAAATGCTTTAATTCGCACGATTCACTATAAATTACCTAAATTTGTGAAATTCTATAAGCCCTGACCGATTTGCGGTTTCTGTATAACAATAACATATTTAGGGTGCAATTGATTCAGTCCCTAAAAGCTACATAGAAAGGAAGTTGCCGGAGCGCTGTTCTGGCCTGTCGGTTGGAAACAAAAGTCGAAAGGGAAGTCGGGTTTTTCAGGATTCTCTACGCCGCCTGCGATCTTGTAACGTGACAAATATGCCGGGGGTCGCGCGAACGGGACAAATTGGGATCATTTAACACGTTAGAGCACTAATTCCTCTATACCAAAATTTATTTCCTAGAATTAATAAAAGCATTTGCGGGCTCTTTTCGAAATGGCGGTCCTTCCGGGAATTTATTTATCAGGAGGTTTTTATAACATTTTTTTATTTTATCACAATTAAACCCGAGAATTACTTTCTCTTAATTGTCCTCTTACCTACTCCTGCTCGATAGGCATTTTTCGAACAGTCTATAAAATCAAAAAAAAAATAAATGAGGTGCAAAAATAAAACCGGCCTCCTTTCTTTCCTTCCCTATTATGAAACCTTTCTTTTGTTGTATCGTTGACAACGCGGAATTTAGTTGATCACACATCCATATACACAAGCAGATCCGTTTCTCATCGTGTTGTCGATCAAAGCAGATAGATTTCTTAGCGAGAAGAGATGTCGATAAATCCAATTGGGGTGTCTCTGACACCCCCGATAGCTCTCAATGCTTGTAACGCTGGCTATAATGGTTGTTGAAGTATTCATCTCGTCATTAAATAAACATGCCCTGTTGTGTTCCTCTCTCAGGTGGAAAATAATGATTCTTTTGTGTGATATTTATTTTTGAGGAGACAGTTTGAAGGATGAGAAATTTGGGAATTTATGTATGCAGGTATAAACAAGTTACTCCTTGGGTAAAAATATTTCATGACCTACGTTTTTAGTTACATTTACCATATAAAAAAATCTCTTACAGTATTGTTATTCTATTTTCTTCATATTTTAACGTTATCCAGTGCATTGACTTCTCTTTGTCTTAGATACATTTTAAAATGTTCCAGGGATGTCATAAATCTTTATTGTAGGATTCATGCCGAGTAGCATCTTGTAATGATATTAATCTTGTTTTAAAAATGTAAATAAAAAAGTTTTCAATTTGCTTCTGACAGTAAAATTGTATCAGAGTGCGCCTTAAAGTTTTTATAGAGGAATTAAAATCGTTTTCATTAAAATGATATTAAATGATATAAAAATCAATCTTTTATTAATTATAGTGGTACCTATACTAAAAATATTAAGTGTTTTCTACTATAGCTGTACATATTTTGAAATATTCGATTTTGTTTTAACGAAGAATATGTGTACTATGTGTACTATGGTAACAATTTTGTTCATGAATGAGAATTTTAATACTATTATGTTCTAAATGTATGAAATTGCAATTTTACTGGAGAAACCGGTAGTAACGAACAGCAGCGCATTTTCAGTATGGTCATATTATATTTTATGTAGGAGGTATAATTAAATGCATCCTCTATCAGTCTAATATAGTAAAACAAGTCAGATAATAGAATAAAAAGGGAAATATTAGAATGCAATTATTTTATTACCATTCGCTAGAAATTTTTTGTCAACCAATTTGCAAGTACTTAAAAGTAAATTCGGAGCTTTTTCTCTCATATATGGAAATTTTGTAATATTATATTCGCATTTGATACGACGTTATTTCAACGTTCCATAAATGAAATTTAATCGTAAAAATAAATTACTATACCTACGTATTTTCAAGAAAATAAAAGTTTAAAATTTTTATGCTTTCTGAAGGAAACGCAATTTAAGATAGACACGCCATCCTCTTCATCTTATATCTAAGAAAATATATTAGAGTTAGACTGTCTCATTTGAAAAAATCACTTAAAATAAAAAAAATCCGTTGGTGACGATAGGGGATAATTCAAAGGATAAAAATTTTTGGAATTTCAGGTTTCAATATCAATTTAGATGAAAAATACGACGCCACTGATTTTATTGTCACATCAGCGCCCTAAAGGTTGTTGATCACATGTCCGTTCTGAAATCACTAGGGATTTCTCAAAAGAAATCTACTCTACAAATTTATTTTACTGTCACTAACATTTGTAGACCTCGTCCTCTTTTCTGATATAAACCGTATGCTCAAACGATATTTTTCCGAAGAACTTCTAGTGCCATCTTCTAATAATCCTATCTATTAACAACATGTCGATATCACTTTCGAAAAATATTTATTTTACACTTTAGTTCTGCTTTCTTATAGTATACAGGTAGATCACTAAAGTTTGTGAGGATTAAGCTCACGTGAAATAATAAGAAAATAACCTTAAGACTACGTTAATCGCAAGCACTATAAGTAATTGAAGATGGTTGTCGCTCTGAACTTAACTGCATGCCCTGATTAAATTTGTTGCGATACCATTCTCAACATCCCACATCTATCAGAAGGGTTAAGTGAACTTTCTAATACCCTCAGCCTTACAGTATATTGTGTTTAACAACTCGAAAATGTTTGATAGCCACTTAGCAGAAGTTTTAGGAAAGCAAGATTATACTTCTTTTTGCGGCGAAAGACCAACTGTTAATGTTAAATAATCGCTACTCCGCAGGGCTAGTAAGAGAATAAAGGTAATATTCATTAGGGGCTAGCAAATGGGATTTTCTTATATACGGAAGGTATTGTTTTTTTGTTTAATTTATTTTTGGATTAGATTTCTTTTATTTTTTGACCTCAACATACTACATAGTCTGATAAAATAACCAATGAAGCAATGGTCTTCAATTCACCACTTAATTCTTTTCGAAAAACCAGTTACAATACATCAGTTAATAGAGTTATTAAATAAGACAAATTAATAATTGCTCTGTTGGGGTATGTATATAAAGGTGCTATTCAAATGGGAAAGGAAAATTGTCCAAAGTAACAAGTAAATTATATTAGAACACCTGTAAGTACCGAATGTCGCCTTCTAAATAAATGGACATGGTATGTATTTGTGTAGGAAAGTGTTTTGGACTTTGAAATATCACCGGTGCTGGATACTAAATTTCTCATTTCCCCTACGGATTTCCCGTATCAGAGGCCAACGAAGACAACAACATAATTTATAACATTACGCCCAACGAGACAAAGACGGTAGATAAAGAATAGCAACGGACTTGCTCTAGAATTGTTGCGTATAAGTAGTTCATAATAGTTGTCCTGCCTTTATGTTTCACCTCAATTACCTTTATAGTAGAAGAATATAGAGCATACATTTATTAAATAATTTATGGTTAGATGTTCTAAGTCCATCAAACATGAATTTATTTTCATAAAGAATTACAATATCAAGTCAGGGAGCTAGTCCTCCTCTGAAGGAAGATGAAATAAGACTATTCCTTAGATAAAAGTCTATTTCTTTTGAGTCAAGGCACGTCATATTTCGAATGAAAACAAGTCATTTTGCATCTCTCGGCAGTTTTTTATAATGCTCCTTGGGAAATGAACTTCACCATGTGTTTTTCAAGATAGTCCTGTAAAACATATTTATTATTTTCTTTTGTCGGTTTGGCTGAATTGGTACAAGATAAGTACAATACTCCTACAGAATAAAAATTTCTTTTTAACTTGTCATCCTTATTGACAAGCTGAGATCATAAACGGTGATCATAAAAAAAATAAACATAATAAACATAATATTTTTAGACATTAGAATATTAGAACATGTATCTACTTAATTTTTAAGTTGGTTTTTTTGTTTAAAATAAAAATTAATAAGAAAGTTGAACTTTTAAATTTAGTTTCGTAATACACTACAAATTCATGTACAATTTATTTTTTCATCCACTTTAACTTTGAACGCGACTAATTCGCTTGTACCTCCGGTCTTTTAAAAATTGTCATTCCTATTTGGTCTCAATTTAATTTAAGTCGAATGGAACTGGCGAGCTGGGGGAATTGGTATTGCTTATTTCTTTATTACCATGTAGCTTTTCACTTTCAGTAAATTGGATAATAATATTGTTAGTGCAGATGCGATAAGCAAGACCTAACCGAATTACTACAATTTATATTATGACAAGAAAAAGTTATTGCAAAATGTATAGGCTTTAAAATTGAATGGAAAACTTATCGAAATCGATTTTTAATTGGCATGAATTATATATGAAGAAGAATACAATAATTTGGATAAAATATTAGATACTTACAATTTATACATTTTTGTTGGGGTAAGAAATATTTTTATAAAAACTTCGTATGTATACCTATAACTATAAAAATTGAATTTAATACCTAAAATTTGCCTGATTCATGTCCCCTTATTGCAATGAATCAGGCAAATTGCATATAACAAAACCTTAACTACAAACAATTTACTCCTTACTGATATGCACGCGAAATAAGTAGGACGACAATTTTAATTGAGGTTTACCTGTATTCTATAGAACAGAATAATTAGTGTTAGGGCTAATTATTTCGGTATTTCTGTTAGTGTAACGAGTACCACGTATAAAGTGCTTAAATGCTTTGTAATTGTATTGTAAATGATGTGTGCTTGATCTCTTTGAATGGTTACTCCTTCAAATAACGAACGGAACCGAGAAGCATTTGCTTGTAAATTTAATTCTAGACGGCTTTGTGCTCCGCCTGTCGGGTTTATGAAATCAAATTGTGATACACGCTTTTAATGAATTAATTATGTAGTTTAGGTATATTTTATGGTTCGGGATTGGGGATGAAAATATTGATACCCACTAAGGAACTTCGTATCTACTTTATAACGAGAGATTAAAGTAAGAAAAGAATATATCGCCGACACTGCTTCCTTAAAGAATGTCTCTCTTTGATCTTTACGCGGTGTGTAATAACACGGTGTTACCACTATTAGTCCCGTGTCAAGTATCGGGACCTCCGCCTTCTTCCAGTTAAGGAATCTCGGGTCATATTTCACTTAACCTGCGATAAATTCCCGGACTTTATCGCCGCCTCGCCGTCCAAGAAACGTAAAGCCGTAATGACCTTATAAAATAGATAGTAAATTATCTATATAACGCTCATATAACTCCACCTCGCCCAGTTAAAACATAACACTTAGATGGATATCCTGGAATAGAGAAAGTAAATCTCGAATTAAACTGTTATATGAACGAAATGACGATCCGGGTTATTTTATGTCGCAAATGGAATTTTTACCGCGGAAACTTTGAATTATTTGTGGAAATATTGTTTCATCACAAATAACTCTTCGGGAAGATTTATTTTCGTTATTTACCCGGGTTCCGGTAAAGCTGAAACTAATTTTCATACGAGTCGAGCGAAAAAATGATATACTATTTATCAAGCGCGAAAACACCTTTATTATAATATTGCACATGGTGCCGGTCTGGTATCTTTCTTTGTACGAAGAAACTTGAAGTTTAGATTGTATCATTATATTCTGACAGTTTGACTGGTGTTTCAGGATGAAGAAAAGTGAAGGAAGTAGCAATAGCACAGCCGCCTGTGATACTCAGGACTCGAGGGGCCAAAGCCGACCTGATCCCGATACTTTAGACCCCAAATATAACTTTAGAATTGGAATATATGGATGGAGGAAAAAGTGCTTGTACATTCTCATTTTAGTGTTGCTTATTATGGTCGTCGTGAATCTGGCGTTAACTTTATGGGTGCTTAAAGTTATGGAATTTTCATCTGTGAGTATTGAATTATTTTGGCTATTTCATTTGGAGTCTTCTTATAAGTAAATCACTTAAATTCCCTAATAATCCATAACAGTAATTGTAGTATACATATGAATTTTTTCGGGACAATCTGTGTAGGTACATAACCTTCGAATTATTCGGAATTCTGTTTGTTTCCCTGTATCTGAAATATCTAGATTATTTGTGTCTACGTGGGGATAAATTCCTACTTCATATAAACTGCCACGTACGTATTTCGGTTTTGGGCCAGTGGTTATCCGTGTTTTCCCCTCTATTTTCGGCTGTTATCGTATCATCGCGTTATTGGACATACATGATTTCTTTTGCATCCCTTTTTTATATTTTTTTACGTTACTTAACGGGTTCATTTACATTTTTTTTTCATTTCGGTAATAATACATTTTATTTCGATTGCACTTTTTAGGGTTTTATCTCCCTAATGCTTTCTGTTTGAATAATGTAATCTGAAAATATTTATTTTATCAGTATTTATAAATATTGATATAAATCTCTTATTGTATCCTTGCGTAAAGCAATTGTAAGATACATGCGAATGTTGATGTTCAATTAATTAATACAACCTCTAAAATTAAATATTTTTAATCATTCAAACCGACCTACGAATTTAAATTGGAGCCTTTTTAAACCGTAAAAGAATTTCGTTTCATGTGCTAATTATATCCTCCGGTGCCGAGATGAAGAAATTAACCGAAGGGCAAACGTAACTAAAAAGTATTCACTTTTTTTATAATTAGAAAGTCTTTTTTGTTCGTTCACAATAAACGGCTGCAGCGCAAAATAAAATGTATTCATTACTTGAACAAATCATTATCTTGGATGAAACGGAAAAAAATCTGGAGGGGAGATTTTAATTAATGGACATCTGTTGGTGTAACCCTTAATTTTTCTTAATTTTTGATGAGGGTTTGCGTATACTTTCATCCATTTGCCACAGAAGGAGATTAATCGTCATACGCAAACAGATGCATTATTATAGATATCTAATAATTAAATGTAATCTAATATTATCGTATCGTCAAATAACATTATCTTTAAGGCTAATATTTGTTTCGAATTTCCATTTACTTCGCGAAAAGCAATTTCCCATATTTCTATATTTACAAATATTTCTGTCCTTAAATTCAATAAATACATCAACACTGTCAAAACAGAGTTCGGATCGAAGCGGCCCTTATCCTCCTAAATTTCCCTCGAGAAGTCCCGACCCGCTTATGCCTGCTGCCTGCTGGCTCACTAGAAAAACGTCCCGGAATATATTTCACAATCGGCCAAATGTCAAATATTAGCTTTGGGGATTTAGTGGCCCTCCGTCTACAAACGTGTGGTAAACCACGTAATTAAGTTAACCAGGGATTCGACCTCTGGCTATCACTTTGCCAACATGTAACATCGATTATATTGTTCGATGGCGGAGGAAATGGACCTTTCCTTTCCCTGCGAATTTATTCTTTTACGTGTTAGCAGGGGAACGTCGTGTTAACATTGATGTTCGGGTGTAAATTCGACGGGGTAGATTTTTCAACTAATACAGGATATTATTAAATGCACATATTTTTTTGCTTTTATCTAGGTTTATGCAATTTATTCGCTTATGTTATTCTTCAACGTCTTCCATGATTTATATCTTTTTATTATACTCTCTGAACGTTTGATTGATTATTTGAGTTCATCACAGCGAACTTTAACCGTTCCGTTTTTTGAATTTTGCCGAAATAAATATAATATTTACTTGATAAAAGAACAAACGTCTTCGATAAATCCGTATAATCCGAACGCCCGTGGGCTAAAGGTTGGGATACGTTGCGGAGGAAGCGATGCGTCTTTTTGTGCGAATCAATTCCAGCGTGTTCTTGGATGGGTCAGAAGCGGAAACTGAAAGGCTGTTTGATATATTTTCGAATTTGGTTTTGATAGTTTAACGCCCGCACAAGGATATTTATGGTGCTTGTTAAATTTTTTAATTTATTACCCTTACTTTATTGAATTCGATCGGGCAATACGAAATAATTATAAAAATAATTTATAATCTTCTAATTCCTACACAAAACGATGATTTAATTATTGTAAGTACATTGCGCAATTATTCGTAGGAAGACAAATAATTGCCACTAACGCCGAATTTGTGTTTACCAACCTAGCTAAATGCAAACATCAACTGTTTACTGAAATCAATATCTGCTTGTTGCAGGAGGGTATGGGTCAGCTGAAAATCGTTGCAGGTGGACTGAAATTGGAAGGAAAAACTTTCGTACTAGATAGTTTAATAGCCAGTAGCATTAAATCTAGAAGTTATCAGCCCATAGTGTTAGAGTCAACAAAGAATCTCACGCTTAGAGCGAGGCATAAAAATGGTTACATTGATAGTTCAGTGGTTATAGGTGAGCTGTTTTATTCGCAGAATTTTTGGAGTTTTCGTGTTATTTGTTGCAGGAAATGAGAAATTAGAGTGCCTAACAAATAATTTTAAAATAACGGATGATCGAGGATCGCTGCTGTTTTCTGCAGATAGAAACGAAGTGATAGTCGGTTCTGAAATACTTCGAGTGATAGGCGATGGAGGTACTAGCTTCAGCGGATCGTTACAAACCACATTGGTACGAGCCGAGGCCGGTCACGAATTAAGGTGAGAAAATGCCCACTGAAACTACTCTAAGTACCTAATTGTTGAATAATGTAGTCCTTCTATTTAAATATCGTATAATTAGTAAAATACTGGTGAATAAAATAGATCCTTTGTGGCTGATTCCTTCGAGCCCGTTGACTTTTCTGGATCACTTCTGATGTCCACTGTCTAGGCTGCGTTACGTTATCTCTATAAATGTTTTCTTAAAATTACCATATTATCGTGTTATTCATAGTGTCGGAATATACAAGCACGGTGAAATTGGGATAGCATCCCTGTTCATAAAGTTATTTCAACCCGAATGAAATTATTCGGGTTAAGACCGGTAAGGGTATATTTACAATATTCATAATTCAAGAATACGGCTGAAACGTGGTCACGAAGAGATCTATGTGGTGTACATAAGTAGATTTAAAATAGCATTATTATTATCTTTATTTGCCTAATTTTAAGTGGTTTTTTTTATTATAATAGGTGTATAAAAAGGAAAATTTAATTAAATTCTAATACATCACCCTTCATTTAGAAATAATCTAAATAACTATCGGTTTTATTTATTCATAGTTTTAAGTGTAGAGGCCCTTATAATTGAAATTATTATTTATTTATATCCACTAGCATTTCGACAATTTTACCGAATTGATTACCAGGAAATATAGGCTTATAGGAGAGACACTGTATAATACCTTGCCCTTTTATGTTATAGACTAGAATCACCCACAAGATCCTTAGAGATAAAGGCTGCAAAGGGCATCCACATGGAGTCGCGAGGAGGCCGAATACGAGCTATATCGTTGAACGATCTCACGCTACATTCTGAGGTAGGAGCCATCAAATTGGAGACAAGTTCCATTCTGATGCCGCTAATACCGACTGCCAAGGTAACGCCTAGGGCCTCCACTAGCAGTACTTACGATATTTATCAATTATGCGTTTGCGAAAGTGGTAAATTATTTCTCGCTTCCCCGCATCTGGTGTGCGCTTCTGAAAACGATGATAGATTATGTCGATAATATTAGCGAATAGAAAGGTTTTATGTGTACCGATCGAAAACGACTTTTCATTAATTTTGTATTAAACCTATGATATCTAAACACCTAAAAACTGCGTTTGATGTTCATTTATTGGAACTATAGGTAATACGTATGGACCATCCGTAATAAGCCGTGACATTTGTTGAGTACACATGAAATTCATATCCATCGTAGCCAATTTGTTTTTTATGTCATATATTTTATATGAGTTTTATTAAACGCCGTGTAATATACGTACGTATCCTTTTGTACATATGTTTATATTTCATTTCAAGCTGAAAAATATTTTGAAAAATAAAACTGTAACAAAAAGCGATTAGTTTTTTTATTTAGCTGTATCACAAATTTAAAAAAATATTTGGATTTTATACAAGAAACTCGGATTAATCAACAAACATGATCTAATCCGCAAATATTAATAAAACTGGCTTTCCTATGTACTAATTTCCGCAGCGACTGGAATACGATGAGAAGTCGAACGCAAATCTGTACCGCTCCATTGAAACTGTCAAATCTATCTAGATGAAATAACTTTTATTTATCTTCGATAATCAGAAGGGAATCCGGGAGAAGAGTTTTCGTAATGTTCTGTGCCGGAGAAACGAATGCGGAGATATGCAAATATGGCCGCCATTGTACAATGGCAAAGCACAAAGCGAAAAACGACATTAAATGACACGAAAGCATAATAGGTTTCCAGATTATCAGCGCGTATGTATGTATACAATACGTAATATAAAGAAGAATCTTTACAAATCATGTTCGGTGAATTGAAAATGGAAACGTCCAGTATGTTAGTATTGGTCTAGTTATTTACTAAAACCTAGTCAATTTTAAAACCGTTTCTAATGATTTTGAATAAAATGAATTGGATTTCTTTTAAGTTAACTATTGTTCCTCTAACAGGTGAGTATCTACGTACTTCTGGTAATTGGTAAGTAGGTGTAACAATATAGAAAAATAAAACCCGAGTATCAACTCTGCTAAAAGTTACCTGCTATTGAAAAATATCTACAAATGCATTATATTAATAAAAAACCATTAAATTGATTGTTAAAGTCAAACATATATGTAAGAGCAATTAAACAAAATTGGAACATATGAAATTGAAATCAACGTTGAATGGCAATTAAAATGCAATTTCATTGTACATTATTCCTGTTACACCTTCAGAGGTAGGACTTCAAATCCAATAAGATATTAAAAAAAAAACTCATAAAATTCTTTATTTTATGATTCATGTTATTGGCGCTATAAAATCGTCCAACGTGACCTAAATAATTTAGTTTTAGTTTGGCGTTAGACGCTAAATTTGGAATAAATTTTAAATACCTAATAAACTTTAATTCAAAACGATACCTATAAACTCTCATTATTTGTAGAACTAACTATTTTGAAGCATTTCCTATATTTCAATACAGATCAATAACATTTTTTGATAATTTGTAAGTTTATTCCAGAGATAAAAAAGAGCAATCAGAGAACGGTCCAAAATTCTTTTTGCAAAAAATTGATTTTTTAATTCCGAATATTCCCTTTTAGTAAATATGCCTTACCTTTATTTAAATATATCTATAGGTAGATATAGGAGTAAAAGTAACGAGTTGTTATAAGAAACAAAGAAACAAAATTAATTACCTACCCTTATAACCTTGTAATAAATACTGAAAACTTGCGTTTCAGCATGACAATAACTGTATTGCTTTGTTTCAGTTAACGGGTTAACCAACTAATTATCTCTGATTAAATGCATAAATATCCGATACTCCAGGCGCTTTCCCGCAATATTTCTGAAACACCGTTAGTATTATCTTTCACATATCGAAATTTCGCTGAATCCAGGGAGACCTACCTCCTTAACTATAGACGAAGTTTGAGCAAGAAACTATAAGGCTTTAGCTTAAATTGAAGATTAATTACCCAATTTTACAACATTCAGAATATTCTGACTAAAGTTATACTTATATTTTATTGGTTTCAACTCTCTTCAACAGGGTGTCCCTGAAAGTGTGGACAATCTCTCGGATCCAGATAGAACCTTAAAAATACCTGCAAAACTAAAAAAAGCTAAATATCTTTCAAGGAGACTATTTTGTGTGTTCCTTAGTAGTGTCCACATATTAGATTTTTATTAAATTATATCGAGTGCTTTAAAAAATATTTGAAGAAAACCTATTTACAGCGACATTCTTCAAAGATGCATATCTCCGCAGAAAGGGCCTGTACGGAAAAACTTTATAGGAACTTGTCATCTTATTTTTCCATGTTCTATCTGGACCCGAGAGATTTTTCACATTTTCTGGGACAACCTGTGTACATCGTGATAGCAACAGCAGTATTGAAGCGATGTTCATACGGTTTATTAAATATGTACCTTTTGCACTGTATAAGGTATTGAATTTTTCATTGTGATAAACAGTTTAACCTGCTCTGGCACCCGAATGATAGGCATTATTCCCAAAAAGTAGCTATGTTAAATACAGCGGGCATTCTCGAAAACACTCCATTACCCTTTAAACGAGAAATAATCGCTCTGTATAATGGCACCGCAAAAAAACGTAACCCCTGGATCGCGGCAAAAATACGTGCATAAAAACAATAAACGTCTGTCTGCGGAAAAGATAAAAAGAAAAGAAAGGAAACATCGAAGAGAGGGTCGGACGCATCAGAGTTGGACGGGCGCCAAAAGCGGCTCTATTCGAAAACAGATTGATGACTTTGAAAAGGATTTTACGAATTCGCGAAAATACGATATGGGGATTTCCCAAACGACGTCTACTACTATTTTATCCCTATTTTCCAAAAAAAATCTAAACGCCAATACGTGTTCCAGGTTCCAGGTTCAATGAGACTAATATAACAATATCCTATTAATCAATATTTATACTATAAAACACAGAAAGGAACAAATTAAGATTACCTACATATCTATCCTTTACCAAAAAATAGCTACATCTTAACCCTCTCATGAGTTAATTTTATTAACAACATTCAGAATGTTATTATTTATTAAAATTCCTGTAAGGGATGAACGAACTCTCTTCAACAGAAAAAGCGTATTTTCTAAATTTGTTGATTTAGGCATTTGCTTTTTATGTTCGTTATGACCGTGAATGTGCCAGCTAGTCCGCCCCTGCGGGGTTGTAAGGTTGTCGTTAGAGTGGCCCTCAATCGTAGCAGTAGCAGAACTGCGGTAAACGTGACATGCTGGACCTGAATTTTAACGAAGAATCCGGAAAGTTACGGTGCCGGAATCTGTTACTTGTTTAGGTATTTAAATTTTTTATGTCATCGACGATTTTACAATTCGTGTTTTTATGAGATTCATTCAGACCTCTATCGATATTATATTGCGTTTCCCTTTTTAATCAATTTCCAAGCTGTACTAATATAGCAATTGGAGACACTCGCGAACGCGGATGTACCCAAGATAAATATTATTGAAGCGTTTGAAGTTTAAATAAAATACTAAATTGTTCTAGATACAACTATAGATCTGATTAGGTATTAGAATATCTTATCAAGTCCATTCCATATTCACTAGTTTTTACACCTTTTTCTTAACTAATTTTTGCGTAATCTTCCCTTTTTCAACCACTGATAAAATGTGCAAGTAAAGTTCTAAATTTTAATCAGTACCTAAACAATTAGGAATTACTTTATAAAATTATATATTTTTTGATGAAGTACACACATTATGTAGCTAGAGCAGTTGGCAAATAATAAGGCCGAAAAAGTTTAAAGGAGCCGACCGTCACCGTCGTTCCGGAATACGCTAAACATGCATAACGCGTGGTGGCGTCGGAATCAATCAAGTCGATTTGAAAGGTTCAGGCTTTAAATCGGAAAACTTAATCTAAAACGCTCTTGACTGGTTGTGATATATACCTATGCCCGACCTCAAACGGTTTATTTCACACATGTCAGATAATTCTGAGAGGGCCATAAACTAGTCAACTTTTCTTGATACATTGTTAACTTGGGTAACTTACGAGCTTATTTAGGGTGTAACATGATGCATTTATTTTTGCAATACGAAGGATTTTCAGTGGATAAAAATTTTCAAGCTTGACATAAAGCTCTAAATGAAAAGCTCGCGCATTAAATAATGTTGTTAACGAATTTAATTAAAATCGGCGCAAATAAATTACAGAACTAACCACAGGCTCGTGTAGTTGCCGAAGTTGTTGAAGGAAACATTATTAAAAAGTGTCGAAAGAATCCCCTGCCCGCGAAAAAGATTTTAATAATGTTTTCGTTGAAAAAAGTTAAAAGTTCTTGATCTCATAACGAATTTTTTATTAGATAAGTTTCCCAAAACAATATGCAGCCGTTAGATAATAATATTTCTTTTCGAGTATAAGAATCCGCGCATAAAGTAGTGTACTTCAGAAATTCGGGTTCATAAAACCTAAGGTGAAGAAGTTTTTACGTCCATCATCGTGTCTAAGCTGCGGTAAGTTTCCGGAAATTTTCGTGGAAGAAGAGGTAACATTCTGTTCTAAGAGAGTTCTTCTCCGACTAAAATTGATTTTATCCTGCCTGCACATATGCGGTATGCAATTGAAAGTGTATTAAAGATCCTAGGTACAGAAATTACCAACGTCAAAGTCTTGTTAAAGCCGCAAATGCTGTACCCACTTTGTTACTAACTGATAAGAACAGCTTTGTTATATCTATACAAGGTATTTTCCGCAATAACAAGCTAATTTAATTTTTGGATTAATTTGTTTCATAAAAAAATGTCGTATTATCAGCTTCCTAGAAGAAAGCTCGCTCTTGGATTACTTGTCTAAAGTTCTTTCTAGACCACCCTAAATCTAAATTGGTTTAGTTGAAGTAATATTTTTCTGAAATCGAACAATACAAATAATGCCTTTGTGAAAACAACTCTTTGTGAGAAATATAATTGCTTACCTGTGTAGCCAACCATGTCGGACTGTAATATGTCCTTAACGTATTTTTGCTTTTGTTTTCCATTAGATATTCCACAAAAAATGGACAAATATTGAATTTGTCCTGGGAAATACCACAATAATATAGTTACTATTGGACTACACCCACAGAGAGATGTTTTTAAGTATAGGCATGCATAGAGAAAATTAATTTTAATGTTGGATTATAGTAGCAAATATCAAATTACAATTTTATTGGCACTTCAATTTGTAGGATTTACGTGGCATTGGCAATTAATTCTATCATTGCTCAATGGAGCCACATCTGGAGGTCACTTTGTGTGGTGAATGTTACGATAATTCGCATAAAGCTTATTTGTGTTAGAATTCAAATGAATACAAAGACTA